TGGAAATATTCTTAAATGGATGCTCGCTTTATGCTCACAAAATCTTCACATTATGCTTTAGCATGGTGGATGCTTATTCATTTTCCTGTACGTATGGAGGCTCAAAGTTTGGAACAGTGTGCGTTTTTGTATTTGGAAGTGGTGCATGGCCAAAACCAGCACAACAAAATACGTGAGTATCCCCATGCCAAGGTGTCCATGCAAATCAACATAGAAAAGAGATAACATTACTTCCTCTATTCATTAGTTGACTTTTTTTGTAATAATTATACGTTTCCATTGTCAATTTAGTTTGGTTAAACTTTGGACATTGTCATGTTCAACTGTCTACATATTGATAGCCGTCATACTCGTCCAACATGTCAACCTCACCCTGCGAATGATCTAACCATCTCTTCCGCAGCTCCCCATCTCCTTCCATCATGAGATTGACCGAAAATCAACTATGCCTATACAACTGAGAGGTTTTACGAATTCCAATATAGTGCTCAGTACCGAAAGTCAGAGCTAGTTCAAACAATAATAAGAGGATGAAAAGTGTTTAACTCCGAGTCTCCGGTCTGAAAATAACCAGATTACAAGGGCGGACAAAATAGAGAGCCACGTCCTCAATCAGCAAGAACTATACATGAGCAGATAGTAAAACACCAATTCTAGCACTGAGGACATGTCCCGATGATCATTTACGGTTTTTTTAATTTTTCCACTCCATTATGCTGAAATACAATGTACCTCCAAACTCATACCTGTGCAGGAAAGCTCACCCCTCCGCTACGTCTAGTCAACAATAGACCTTTTGCATTCTGAAAATGTGAATTTTGCGTGAGTGATAGATCCTCACCTTGTGTCAGAATAACAGTTATTTAATATTCATAACAAAGATAATATCTTCCGAAACACTACTAACAGGCTGCAGAAGAAGGGTACCTTTGAAAACCTTTGAAATCCTGTTCACCAAGGACAGCCTACAAAGTCATTCGCTAATGATTGATGCAGTACAGTCTGAAGTGAAGGTCCTACCCTAACTAGCTCGAGAGCAGGTAATCATGATGATGATAATGTCGATGACGAAGATGCATTCCACAGCAGGATGTATTCACAGTCGCTTCCACACCAGACCCCGTTGCCCTCGGAGTATCAGTTCTTACTCATTCTGAAACAGGAAAATGTTGGTGAGTGATGGGGTCAGAATAGCAGCTGAGCACTGAAGAACGAAGTGTGACCTTGACAGTGACAAAGAAAGGTATGAGTGATCATTTATCATTAAAAACGACAAGAAACTCCTTTGGCAACTAACATCTTTTTGTGCCACAATTGTTGCACAACTCCATGACAGCTTGAGATGGTAACAGCAAGTTGCCATGTAATTGATGTTGAGAACGTGCGTGTACTTGGAACGTATTACAGGCTGCCACAAATATAGCAAACCCATTGTTATCAACTAATAATATAATTATTATGGCATTTGACACACTAGAATACGATATTAAAGTACACAGATTGTACCCTTTCTACATCCGTAGTTTTGGTCACTGCGTGAAGTTGCTACGAGTAATATTGGCTGTGCTATGCAATTTCCCTTCCAGACTTCCTGAAGTTCTGTGAGAAATGGAAGACTTTGAGGAGTCGATGTCTGACAGCAGTGTGGCATCTTATAAACTACCACCAATGCTGCCATTGATGATGACGAAGAGAAATACGCTCAACCAAACTTCTAGAGAGACTGGTCCATCGTGTGTTCCACCATCTCCTGCGTTTAACCTTTGAGAGAAAAACATGGAGAAAGTGTCGTGTATAAGATCTGCTTCACTGGAAAACAGAGCGGACACGAGTAATATACCCCCTGAGTATACCGGTGGCCTAATTCCTGTTTCTCCTCCGCTATTAGTAAAGTGGACGAGGAACACAATTCATTCCGGCAGCATTTCTAACCGTCAGCCAGCTTTCGAACAGACATTTCAAACAGCCGACGAAAGCGAAATCAAATCAACGACTAGTATGCCGCCTGAATTGGAAGACGTTGAGAATCGGCCTTCTCTATTCAGCGTGTATAGTGAGCCTGTACTGATTGTGAAACCTGCTCCTCAGATTGAAATGGACTCCTTAACTCCAGCCATAGCGTTAAATACCGGAGTTTCTTTTGGAAGTCTGCGTAAAACATCGGAGCAACCTGATGCGTTAGACATGCCGGTTGGAAGCAGGCATCCTATCCGACAAAATTCTGACTCTTCTAATGTTATGGATCAGAAGCAGGATCAGTGGAAGCGTTCTAAGTGTAAGACATCACAAAGGTGTCAGTGTCATAAACGTAGTCATACTGGAGATTGACCCTTCAAGTGTGATGTATGCGGGATGTCTTTCGCGAAGTAATACTACTTTCGTATTCATAAACGTTATGTTGGTCCAACTCAATCTGGCTTCCGACAAGGCCGAAGTACAACAGATGTGGTATGGACACAGCGCTGGATTTCGGCCAAGGCGACTCGATACAACTGGGAATGCCACATGCTGGGGATTGACATGTCCCGTGCGTTCAACACGATCGATCGCACCAAACTGTTAGACGGCATGCCATTAGTGACTGGCCCCGATGAAGTGCGCATGATCCAGCACCTACTGTTCCACACACAAATATCAGTGAAAGTAGGAAAGGCAACTGCCAATCCGTTTCTCAGCACCATCGGCACCCCCAGGGAGATGGCCTGAGCCCTGTTCTTTTTTATTTGTAGCCTGGAGGCAGCACTGCGCCAAGTGAGAGCAAACCTACCCGAACGCCCTTCCGCCGACCGTCACATACCCGGAGAAACAGGTTACGCCGATGATGTGACATTGTACTCAACCAGTGAGGAGTGGCTGAAGCGAAGCCTCCCCATCATTAGCGCAGAACTAGAGGATTGGTCCCTTACAGTAAACGAGACCAAGACCGAATTCTTGCATCTGACATAAACTTCAGACTCCTGGCGGTCCAGCATGCAGCTAGGGTCCCTCATTGGCGACAGTGAGGACCTGGAGCGGAGGAAAGACCTGGCTTCGATTGAATACGGCGGGATGTATAACCTCTGGCTGAGGCGTGGGAAGGTCAGTGAGCAGAGGCGCATCCGCCTGTATAATGTCCTGGTTCTGCCCGTTCTTTTGTATAACTGCGGCGCATGGGGGCTCACGGCAGCCCAAGCAGAATCGCTTAATGTTTTCCACCGGAAGCAGCTCCGACGGCTCATTGGCATAGTCTACCCAGCCAGGATATCAAATACTGAGCTGTATGAGAGGTGCAACACGGAACCACTATCTGACATCGTGGACAGGAAAAGATGGCAGCTAACCGGCCATATTCTCCGTATGGACAGGGATGCGCCGCCATGGATCGCGCTGACGGGCAATTTTGCGGGGGATGCCAAGGCTGGCCGTGGACGTCCAAGGACATCCATTGCGACGCGCATCACAAGCGACTTACAGAGAAGGTACATCGACTTGAAGCGCAGCAGTCACCTGGGGAATGTGAGGGCCATCGCTCTGGACGAGCCTACATGGAGAAATCTGGCCGACAATCCATGATCTGGCGTCACAGGTCATCAGTGCGCCGTGTTAATAATTATCTTGATAATGGAATTTGATCATAGGAGATAGGACAGAAGCGGAACGTATAATTATACCAACATAATTATATTATTACGCGTGCTGTGGTATTATTATTATTATTATTATTCATAGACGTACTCATACCGGAGAGAGACCGCACAAGTGTAAGACATGTGGCACATCGTTCACGCATTCGTCTGATTTACGCGGACATGAACGTATCCATTCTGCATAAAGACCTTTTACGTGCAAGACATGTGTGAGGTCATCGACACAGTCATCCTAACTACAGGACCATGACCAACGTATTATTCATACAGGAGAACGTCCATATAGGTGCACAGAGTGCGCAAAGTTCTTCAGAACATCATCATGTTACCGTAGACACAAGTGTCATCATAACATAAAATGAACAGCCAAAATATCGTTAGATAGTGTTTTAATATTGTGTGAAAATATCTTCCTTCTCTTCGTGCTCATAAATTCTACGAACAAGAGAGAGATAGCGTGTCTGTGTGTTACTGTTAGAAAAATAATATACATTCGCACCACTTTGAAAAAGTTCACTCTTTACTGCTATTCATGCAAGTCTGTGATCGTAGCCGCACACGCGATAGACTATGATAGTCCAGAATTGCATGCTGAGGTGGATCGTGTTGTTCAGTATTTCTGCTCTATTCCATGGTCTCGTTCTCATGTATTATGTCAGAAAATTACAGTACTTATCTAGGTTAACCTTTGATCTCAGAACGTTTTACTTTATCTAGATCGTAGATATGTGCGAAGGCTTTGTTGACTTTTAGGAGAGCATGTCTGAGGACGTCTGAGGAGACCAAATAATGATGTGGAAATGAATCTCTCCCATTTTGCATAAATTATGCAAGCACGTTTCCGTAGGGTGTAGATCGACTGTGCAAAGCCGCCTTGGAAAGGTGTCTGAAGGGATCTTTTTTGCGTTTTCTTGAAATTCCTTTTTAAATCTTTCCACTCCACCATGCTGAAATGCAATGTAGATCCAAACACATACCTTTGCAGGAAAGCTCACTCCTCCGCTAAGTTTGGTCGGCAATAGACCTTTTGGATTCTGAAAAGTAAATTTTTGGTGAGTGATAGATCCTTTACTTGTGTCAGAATGGCAGTTCAGCGCTGAACAACAACGTGCAGTGTTGACACTGACAAAGAACAGTAGGAGTGATCATTTATCACTTAAAGCAAGATTCTTTTTCGGCAACTAACATCTTTTTGTACGACCATTGATGCAAAATTATACGGCAGGTTTTGATAGCACACGTACAATTGTCACGCATTGCGGGCTGCTAGAATTAGGGCAAACCCATCTGTTATTGCTATCAACTAATATTGCTTTTCACGCTCGAGCACGATATTAAAGTGCACAGAGCGAACCATTCTGAATTCGTAATTAAAAACCACTGCGTGAAGTAGCTACAGGTAATATTGGCTCCGTATACCATTTCCTTTCCAGAGTTGTTGCAGTTCAGTGAGAAATGGAAGACTTGGAGGAGTCGATGTCTGACTGCAGTGTGGATTCGAATAAACTACCACCGATGCCGCCATTGATGAAGTCGAAGAGGAATATGCGCGACCATACTTCTAGAGAGCATGGTCCATCATCCGTTCTACCATGTCCTGCGTCCAACCTTTTAGAGAAAAACATGGAGAAAGCGTCGTGTATGAGATCTGCTTCACTGGGAAAGAGAGAGGACACAAGTAACATACCCCCTGAGTATACCAGCAGCCTAATTCCTGTTTCTACTCCGCCATTGATAAGATGGACGAGGAACACAATTCACTCAGGCAGCACTTCTAACCGTCGGTCAGCTTTCGAACAGACATTTCGAACTGCCTACGAAAGCGAACGGGATGAAACAATTTCTAGTACACCTTCTGATATGGACGACGTGGTGAACTGGACTTCAGCGGTCAGCGGGTATGAGAAACGTGCATCGCCTGTGAGATCATATCCTCAGTTTGCAATGGACGCCTTAACTCCAGCCACAGCGTCAAATACTGGAGTGTCCGCTGGAAGAACACCTGAAATATGGGAGAAACCTGATGCGTGTGACATGCCAGTCGGACACAGGCGTCCTATCCGACCATATTCTGACTCCTCTATGGCTCAGAATCAGGTTTCACAAAAGCGTTCTAAGAATAAGACCTCGCAAAGGTGTCAGTATTGCCAAAAAGAGTTCAAAACAGTATCTCACCTCCGCGTGCATGAACGTGTTCACACTGGAGATCGACCATTCAAGTGTGATGTATGCGGGAAGTCTTTCACTCAGTCATGCAGTCTCTGCGCTCACAAACGTACTCATACTGGAGATCGACCATTCAAGTGTGATATTTGCGGGAAGTTCTTCACTCAGTCAGGCAATCTACGTGTGCATAAACGTATTCACACTGGAGAGAGACCGCACAAGTGTAAGACACGTGGCATATCGTTCACGCATTCGTCTAGTTTACGCAGACTTGAAAGTATTCATTCTGCATAAAGACCTTTTACGTGCAAGACATGTGTAAGGTCATCGAAACAGTCATTCTAACTACATGACCATGAACGTACTATTCATACAGAAGAACGTCCATGTAGGTGCAGAGAGTGCGCAAAGTTCTTCAGAACATCATCATGTTATCCTAGATACCAGTGTATTTATAACCTACAATGAATAGCCTAAAAGTCGTTAGATAGTGTTTTGTATGGGTGAAAATGCTTTTCTCCTCTTCGCGCTTATGAATTGTAAGAACAAGAGAGAAAGAGTGTGTGCGTGTCGGTTTGAAAGATAGTATTATATTAGCAGCATTTAAAAAAAAGAAATCAGTCTTTGATGCTTTTCACAGTCCGATCCTAGCCACACACGCGATAAACTATGATAGTACAGAATCGCAATCTGATGTGGATTATGTAGTTCTGTGCTTCTGTTCTACTCCATGGTCTCGTTCTCACGTATTATGTCAGAAGTTAATAATCTTACTCAAGCGTAACCTTCGTTCTCAGAAAGTTTAATTTATTCAGATCGTAGATTTGTGCGAAGCGTTTGACTTTTAAGAGACCATGTCTTAGACGACCAGAGAATGTGTGCAAGTGGATCTCTCTGATTTCCCTCAAATTTGGCATGTACGTTTCCTTGGGGAGGGGGGGTAGATCGACTGTTCAAATCACTTGAAAAGGTGTCCGAAGGGAACCTTGAAATGGACATACCCCTAAACATTATTCATAACATCACATGATTTATGGGTCTGCAAACGAGACATACAACAGCGTTTACGACCAACGAAGGAATCAAGCCCCATCAAGACAACATTGTCTCACTTTAGAAAGGTGCATGACTGGGGCAGCTTCGCTTAGCCACGCAAGCATCCCAGAAGACGAGGGCCATCTCACCCTGTGGCCACTAATATTCGTTTTCAAAAAAGCCAAATTACAAGGGCAGACAAAATAGAGAGGTACGTCCTCATTTAGAAAGACCTATTCATTGGCAGATAGTCTTTTGTACTTTTTTTCTCCTTTTTAGTCGATATAATGGACTTAGGCAAATTTTGCATGTGTGCTCTTCGATAAACAAACAACAAGAAAACAACAAGATAGTAGAACACCTCTTCTAGCAGTGAGCACATGTACCCATCATCCTTTTTGCGTTTTCTTAAAACACATTTTGAATTTTTCCACTCCACCATCTGAAATAAAATGGACATCCAAATTCACACCTGCGCAGGAAAGCTCACCCCTCCGGTACGTCTAGTCGGCAATAGACCCATTGCATTCTGAAAAGTAAATTTTTGGTGAGTGATAGATCCTTTACTTGTTTCAGAATGGCAGTTCAGTGCTGAAGAACAACGTGTAGTGTTGACACTGACAACGAACAGTAGGAGTGATCATTTATCACTTAAAACGACAAGATTCTCCCATATTAACTAACAAGGCTGATCATAGCCACAAATGTGATACGCTATGACAGTCAAGAACCGTAATCTTATGTGCCTTATTTTGTTTTGGATTTGTATTCTAAACAATGATCTTCTGTGAAATAAATAAATCTACCAAGCCTGTGGTCGCGAAGACTGGTATCCTTTCCCAACCCATCCAGTGTTGACAATTGTTTTTAATTTTCCCGAAACATCTACTGAAACCTGCAGAAGAACGGATCCCTTGAGAAATTTTAAATTCTTTCCACCACGAACAGCCTTTAACCCATTCCCTAAAGTTTGAGGCAGGAAATTCTGAAGGCGATAGCCTAACTATTAGTACCTCGAGAGAAGGTAATGATCGTCAGCAAGTCTGGCACTCTTGCAAGTGAATAATGTCCTATAAGCTGCAGCACATCTCAATGTTTCTACTGGTGCATTACATGTAGTCACTTTCTTCCCTTTACCCGCGTGTTGACAAGCTGACTTGGAAGAGAGAGAGAGAGTGGTGTTCAAACAGTTGCATAACGTAAGAGGCTCATTTCCACAGGCCAAACAAGAAGTATAGGAATAGACGTCCTTGATGACAAAACTGCAAAGGTGCTTTGCGTGGCATGCCAATAGACATCAGGACCAGATAGCCACATTGTGACAATGTGCTAGAACTTCATTCGTTACTAAAATAAAAGTTAATCAAAAGTAAGGAAAATGTTACAAGTTATGACTTATAACACTGATGTGGAGAGCAAAGGGTCAATTTATAAAAACAAGAGAGGACCAACGATCGGCGTTTGAAGATGCTGTTCGTTACTGCTGCCTATTTCTACATCTGAAGAGAGCATATCTGAGAATACCAAAGTATGTGTGCAAGTGGATCTCTCCGATTTCGCTCAAAATTTGCAGGTAGGTTCCCTTTGGGGTGTGGATCGATTATGCAAAGCCCTTGAAAAAGTTTCTGAAGGGAACCTTAAAATTTGCATACCCCTCAAAAATGGCCGAAATATCACATTATTTATGGGTCTAGAAACGAGTCACGCCACAGCGTATACGAACAAGCTATGAACAAAACTCCATCAAGCCAACATTGCCTCACCTTAGAAGAGTTCCTGGAGCAGTACCGCTTAGCCACGCCAGCATCCCAGAAGACGAGGTCCATCACCCCCTGACGCCACAAATGATCGTCTTGAAAATAGCCAATTTACAAGCGCTGGCAAAACAGCCAGCTACGTCCTCAATTGGCCAGAACTATACACCGGCAGATAGTAGAACACCTCTTCTAGCGCTGAGGACATGTCCCCCATCTTCCTTTTGGGGTTTTCTTGAAATAAACTTTTTTGAATTTTTCCACTCGACCATGCTGAAATACGGCCAAAGTCATACCTGCGCAGGAAAGCTCGCCACTCCGCGACGTCTCCTCAGCAATTTCTACTCCAACACTACTCCCAAGGCCGCAGAACAACGTGTAGTGCTGACTCTGACAAGGAAAAGCAGCGGTGATCACTTGTCACTCCAAACGACAAGCTTCTCCTTGCGCCACCAATAATTTTTTGTGCGACTGTTGCTGCAAAAGTGACTGAAGGCCTGAGCGCAGTTTTTGAATTTTATTGCAAGATGCACGGTGAAATCACGTGCCTTGTGACGCAAGAATGCCAAGTCGCGTGGCGCACGGCCCACGAGATTTCAGAGTCACCTTTGTCAAGTGCGCTTGTTACTCGCCTTGAACGCCCGTTGGTCTGGAAGTGATCACACTTGTGTTGTTACCGGTTACGGCGCTCAAGAACACGCTGCCCGTGTTGTAGGCCTACGAACCGGGACTTTCCCTGACCATGTAGGTCGAAGACCAGTGAAATGATGATGAAATCACATTCTTTATGACGTAAGAAATCTCTCATGCAGTTCACGCGACAAGTGCGTGCAGCCAGTGCTGCTCGCGTGCCAGTCAACACTAAGGGACTGAGCTAGTCGCTTTTGTCGAGCATCGACATGAAAACAAGGGACTTTTACTGTTGGACTATGTTCGGGATTGCAGGAGGTAAGTGTGAAAGACGAATAACTCTCTATGCTGTGCGGGGCATATTCCAACGGCTTGCTGCCATTGCAACACTCCTAGGGCAGTTTGTGGGGGTTCTCAGCAGTTCAAGCAGGAAATGAAGCTCATCTTACCTCTGCCATCATGGTCTGTTCCGAGTAGCGTTCCAGGCACATTCGCGATCGATGACCGCGTAACGTGATGCAGGAAGCGTCATCCTACGTCAGAGAGCACGCGATCTCACCGTGCATCTTGCAATGAAATTCAAAAACTGCGCTCAGGCCTTCAGTCACTTTTGCAGCAACAGTCGCACAAAAAATTATTGGTGGCGCAAGGAGAAGCTTGTCGTTTGGAGTGACAAGTGATCACCGCTGCTTTTCCTTGTCAGAGTCAACACTACACTTTGTTCTGCGGCCTTGGGAGTAGTGTTGGAGTAGAAATTGCTGAGGAGACGTCGCGGAGTAGCGAGCTTTCCTGCGCAGGTATGACTTTGGCCGTATTTCAGCATGGTCGAGTGGAAAAATTCAAAAAAGTTTATTTCAAGAAAACCCCAAAAGGAAGATGGGGGACATGTCCTCAGCGCTAGAAGAGGTGTTCTACTATCTGCCGGTGTATAGTTCTGGCCAATTGAGGACGTAGCTGGCTGTTTTGCCAGCGCTTGTAAATTGGCTATTTTCAAGACGATCATTTGTGGCGTCAGGGGGTGATGGACCTCGTCTTCTGGGTTGCTGGCGTGGCTAAGCGGTACTGCTCCAGGAACTCTTCTAAGGTGAGGCAATGTTGGCTTGATGGAGTTTTGTTCATAGCTTGTTCGTATACGCTGTGACGTGACTCGTTTCTAGACCCATAAATAATGTGATATTTCGGCCATTTTTGAGGGGTATGCAAATTTCAAGGTTCCCTTCAGAAACTTTTTCAAGGGCTTTGCATAATCGATCCACACCCCAAAGGGAACCTACCTGCAAATTTTGAGCGAAATCGGAGAGATCCACTTGCACACATACTTTGGTATTCTCAGACATGCTCTCTTAATGGTCTTGTTCGATATACTGAACTGTGGTACTGAGGTCTTCGGTTCTTCGTAATTCGTGTTTGCATAGTTTCCCCTCCAATTGATCTTCCAATCTTAGAGTCACACACGTTGTGTGGTATGTTGCTATGCGCCCTTGAATTGTGGTTTGGCCGTTTTGTCTGATGGTTTTGCCAGTATCGTCCTCGACCTATATGTATATCCGCCAACGTTCTCCACAGCTGAGACTTTCATCTCGTGCTGATCTTGATTGCTCCCACCTATCTCTCCTTATTTCTATAACCCAGAACCTTCCCAGCTGGAAAGCTGTAGGAGTGCGCCTCCCAGATGTCAAGATCTGATTGCCAGTTAGGTGTAGAACGTCCGTACCGACTGTCAGTGTAGTGCAATGTTATCGCATGAGCTGATTGTTTAGTAACTGGTGGTGTTAGTTGACATTACAGAGTGACTTGTAGTTCCTTGGTCCTTTCTACTTTTTGAAAATAGTAGTGTTCATTTAACACTTACTTGTAAAACCTAAAGATTTTCCTTTGCCAAACCAACATTTGTTTGCACGGCAGTTGATGTAAAGCCATGTCTGTTGACAGATTGAGATGCTGACAGCAAGACCATACATGTACCTTCAATTGTCACGCATTGCGGGCTGCCATAATTATGGCAAACATCTTTTTATCAACTATCAGTGCTTTTGACACCGTAGAACACGACATTAACGAGCTCAGAGCAAACCATTCTGCATCCGTAGTTTTTTTTCTCTACATGAAGTGGATACGAGTAATATTGGTTTTCTTTTTCACTGATCCTGTAAGTCGTGCAGTGGTGAAATTGAATTTACCCTACAAGAGTTGTTGTAGTTCAGTGAGGAATGGAAGACTTGGAGGAGTCGAAGTCATACGGTAGTATGGATTCTAATGAACGACCACCAAAGCCACCATTGATGAAGTCAAGGAGGAATATGTTTGAACAAAGTTCTAGAGAGTATCGTCAATCGTCTGTTTCACCATCTCCTGCGTCAAGCTTTGTGGAAGAAAACTTGAAGAAAGCGTCGTGTATGATATCCGCTTCACTGGAAAACAGAGACGACACAAGTAGTATACCCCCTGAGTATACCAGTAGCACAATTCCTATTTCCACGCCGCCATTGACAATATGGACGAGGAACACAATTCTTTCAGCCAGTATTTCTAATCGTCAACCTGCTTTCAAAACGACATTTCGGACCGCCACCAAAAGCGAAGTGGATGATGCAACGTCTAGTGCGCTGGCAAAAGTGGAAGACGTCAAAAACTGGACTTCTGCGTTCAGCCCCTGTGGTAAACGTGCATTGCCGGAGAGTCCATCTCCTCAGTTTGAAATGGACGCCTTAACGCCATCCAAAGGTTCCAATACTGAAGTTTCTGCTGGAAAGACACGTGAAACCTTGGAGCAACCTGATGCATGTGAATTGCCGGTTGGAAGCAGGCGTCCTATCCCACAATATACAGACTCTTCTAAGGCTATGGCTCAGAATCAGGACCCAGACAGGCGTTCTAAGTGTAAAACATTACAGAGGTGTCAGGTTTGCCAAAAGGAGTTCCAGTACGTTTCTCGCCTCCGCTATCATGAACGTGTTCATACTGGAGATCGACCATTCAAGTGTGATGTATGCGGGAAGTCTTTCACTCGTTCAGAACATCTCTGTGTTCATAAACGTACTCATACTGGAGATCGACCATTCAAGTGTGATGTATGCGGGAAGTCTTTCACTCGTTCAGACAATCTCTGTGTTCATAAACGTACTCATACTGGAGAGAGACCGCACAAATGTAAGACATGTGGCACATCGTTCTTGCGATTGCCAGATTTACGCAGACATGAACGTATTCATTCTGGTTAAAGACCTTTTACGAGCAAGACATATGTATAGTCATTCACACAGTCATCCCAACTATGAAAGTATACAAACAGGAGAAGTCTTCAAGTCTTCGTAGACACAAGTGTGATTTATACATAAAACGAAGAGCCTAAAAGGCGTTAGAAAGTGTTTTAGTATTGTATGAAAATGCATTTCTCCTCTTCGTGCGCATGAATTTTACGAACAAGAGAGAGAGTGTGTGTGTGTGTGCGTGTGTGTGCGTATGTGTGTGTTTGTGTGGTAGAAAAATAGCCCAATGTCATATTCGCAGTAGTTTGAAAACTGTCCAGTCTTTGATGCTATTCACACAAGTCTGATTGTAGCCACACACGCAATAGACTATGACAGTGCAGATTCGCAAGCTGATGTGGATTATGTACTTCCGTATTTCTCTTTCTTTCCGAGTATTCCATGATCTTGTTCTCATGTATTATGTCAGAAGGTAATAATATTATTTTAGCATAATATTTGATCTGAGAACGTTTTATTTCATTCAGATTGCAGATATGTTCGCAAGTTTTGTTGACTTAAATAAAGCATGTCTTAGAAGACCCGACAGTGTGTGTAAGTTGATATCCCTGATTTCGGTAAAATTTTGCAGGCACGTTAACTTGGGGTGTATATCGACTGTTCAAACCTCTTGCAAAGGTGTCCAAAGGGAACCTTGAAATGGACATACGCCTAAACAATGGTCAACCCATCACACGATTTATGGGTCTGCAAACGAGCCACGCCACAGCGTATTCGACCAAGCTACAAATAAAGCTCCATCAAGTCAAGATTGCCCTACCTTAGAAGAGGACCTGGGGCAGCACAGCGTAGCTACACAAGCATTCCAGAAGACGAGGGATATCACTTCCTGACGCCCCAAATTATGTTCTTGAAAATGGCCAAATTACAAGGGCTGACAAAGTAAAGAGCTACGCCCTCACTTACCAATAACTTACTATACACCGGCAGATAGCAGAAAACCTCTTCTAGCACTGAAGATATGTCCCCCATCCTCCTTTTTGAGTTTTCCTGAAGTAAACAATACTTTTGAGGTTTTCCGCTCCACCACGCTTAAACACCATATACGTGCAAACTCATACCTGCGCAGGAAAGCCCAACCCTCGGTGACTTCTAGTCAGCAAAATACCAATTGTACAACAAGTCAAACGGTTTAAGCTTAAAAGACGCCGCAAGGCTATCCTCCCGAATATTGGTATCTTTTCCCAACCGATCCAGCATTCAAAATTATGGATAACATCTTCCAAGAGGGCTGCTAAAAACCCTTCGCAATAATGGCATGGGGTATAAGTTACACATATATAAGGAACAAGTAACGTAGTAGCGTGATGTCTGCGACCTTCATCCCATTCATGCCTATAACAAAGGCACTTGAAATTTGTTCAACCACGGACAGCCTACAAAGTCATTCGCTAAGGATTGATGCAGAATAATCTGAAGGTAATAGCCCAACTAGCTCGAGAGCATTTAATGATGATGATGATGATGAGGATGACGACGATGCGCACTACCAAAGGATATATTCACAGTGGCTTTCAAATCAGATAATGGTGCTCTAGGAGTATCAGTTTTCACTCTTCATTATGAAATGGTGAATTATGGGTGAGTGATAGATCCTTCACTTGTGCCAGAGGTCGATTTCGTGTCACTTGACGAAAATCCCACGCCTCGACAAAGTTTGTGGATGAAAATACCTTCCGTCTAACCTGTCACTCGGCGAGAAATTCACACGTCGAAAAGGACAATCACCTAATGGGCCAGTCAACGAAATGGCTTGGGGACGAACGGGATTCGATGAACAGTCGTTCGTCGAATATGTTTTCTGCGAACTGTCGTGGAAACAGCAGTTCAGTGCTGGATAACAAATTGTACTGTTGCCACTGACAAAGAAAAGTAGGAGTGTTGAGTTATCACTTAAAGGTGAAGTGCATCGATTTTGCGAGTATGGTCCAGAAGAAAGACAATTTGATGTCGGTTCGAATGGCATATCTCTCGCTTCCATACGATAAGCCAAACTTGCCAAATCGCCAAATGTATACTCACGTTACCAAAGCGACCAGCGCAGTGATGACCTACGAAAGGCTTAGCTCCACCACAGAGAAGGTCGATCACTGCAGAATTTGGTCATTTTCAATTGATTTATTGTATTCACGAAGTGAAAGAAGGGCTGTGTTCAATGCTGTTAGTGCAGTGAACTGTTTGTTAGTAGTCCTCTCGGTTGTGTACTGGGACGTGACACCGACAGGAGAAAGCTGGAGTGCGGAGACACCAGCAGACAAGCGAAAATAGTGACGAACAAAATGCTGAAATCTTGGTTGGGACAAATCAGACGTTCAGCATTTCCCCCAACCAAGGACCATGCCGTTTGCTCTTTCCACTTCCTGAAGATGAATGTGATGCTTCCTGGCGACTCTGCTATCTCTCGTAACATCTTCTGAAGCCAGGTGAGACGACGGGTGGTGGAGATGTGACGAATGAAATAATGTCGTAGGTTTGAAAGTTTGCAGAAAATGTCTCAGGAGAGATGGCGAATTCCAAGCATCTTGTCCTGGAGGAAACCATTTCCTAGGCGCAGATAGCCTAGGGAAATGCATGAGAAGGGCGATAAATAGTTCACGACACTAACAGCATTGAACACAGCACTTCTTTCACATCGTGAATACAATAAGACAATTGAAAAATGACCAATTTCTGCAGTGATCGACATTCTCTGTGGAGGAGCTAAGCCTTTCATACGTCATCACTGCTCTGGTCGCTATGGCAACGTGAGCATACAATTGGCGATTTGGCAAGTTTGGCTTATCGTATGGAAGCGAGAGATATGCCATTCGAACCGATATCAAATTGTCTTTCTTCTGGACCCTACTCGAAAAATCGATGCACTTCCCCTTTAAAACGACAAGATTCTCCTTTGGCAGCTAACATCTTTTTTGTGCGACAATGGACGCAAAAGTCCATGACAGCTTGAGATGGGGACATCAAGGTGCCATGTACTTGAAGTTGAGAGCATATGTAAAATTGTCACGCATTGCGGGCTACCAGAATTATGTCAAACCCATTGTCATCAACTAATACCTCTTTTGATGCATTAGAACACGGTACTACAGTACACCAAGTGGAACCTTTTGCATTCTCAGTTTGTTCACTGCGCAAAATGGTTACGAGTAATATTGGCTCTGTTATGCAATTTTCCTTCCAGAGTTATTGCAGTTCTATGAGAAATGGAAGACTTGGAGGAGTCGAAGTCTGACTGTAGTCTGGAGTCTAATGAACTACCACCAAATCCGCCATTGATGAAGTCGAAAAGGAATAAGCTCGACCAAACCTCTAGAGACCATGGTACATCATCCGTTCCACCATATTCGGGGTCAACATTGGCGAAGCAAACACAGAGAAAGCGTCGTGTATGAGATCCGCTCCACTGGAAAACAGCGAAGACACGAGTAATATACCCCCAGAGCATACCAGTAGCCTTATTTCTGTTTCTTCCCCGCCATTGAAAAAAGGACGAGGAACACAATTCCCTCAGCCAGTATTTCTAATCGTCAACCAGCATTCAAAAAATATTTCGAGCCGCCGACAAAAACGAAAGGGAAAGGGATGAAGCAACGTCTAGTACACAGTCTGAACTGGAAGACGTGGCGAACTGGACTTCAACGTTCAGCGGCTATGGTAAACGAGCATCGCCTGGGAGACCATCTCTTCAATTTAAAATGGACGACTTTACTCCACCCACAGCATCATATACTGAAGGTTTTGTTGGACGGAAACCTGAAACATGGTAGCAACCTGTTGAGTTTGACATGCCGGTCGAACGCGGACGTCGCATGGGACAAAATTCTATCTCTTTTAAGGTTATGGCTCAGAATCAGGATCCCTACAAGCGTTCTAACTGTAAGACATCCCAGAGGTGTCAGTTTTCCCCAAAAGAGTTCGAATACGTTTCTCGCCTCCGCGAGCATGAACGTGTTCATACTGGGGATCGGCCATTATCGGTGATGTATAAGGCAAGTCTTTCACTCAATCAGGCCATCTATGTGTTCATATCGTACTCATACTGGAGATCGACCATTCAAGTGTGATGTATGCGGGAGGTTTTTCACTCAGTCATGGAGTCTATGTGTTCGTAAACGTACTCTTACCGGAGAGAGACTGCACACGTGTAAGACATGTGGTGCGTCGTTAACGGATTCGTCCAATTTACGCAGACATGACCGTATCCATTCCGGAGAAAGATCTTTCACGTGCTAGACATGTGTAAAGGCATTCACACAGTCATCCTAACTACATGACCATGAACGTATACACACAGGAGAACGTCCATAAAGGTGCAGAGAGTGCGCAAAGTTCTTCAGAACACCATCAAGTCTTCGTGGACACATGTGTTATCATAAGATAAAATGAACAGCATAAACGTCGTTAGAAAGTGTCAAATTTAATAATAAATTTATCTTTTACTATGTGTAAAAATGCCTTTTTCTCTTCGTGCTTATGAATTCTACGAACAAGAAAGAGAGAGTGTTTTTGTCTGTTAGAAAGATAGTATACATTCGCAGCAGTTTAAAACAAATTCCACTCTCTGATGCTATTCACACGAGTATGATCGTAGCTCAACACGTGATAGACTATGATAATCCAGAATCGCAATCTGATGTGGATCATATTATTCTGTATTTGTGTTCTATTCCATGGTCTTGTTCTCATGTTTTATATCTGAAGTTAATAGTATTCTTCTTTAGTATTCGAACGAATCAGGCTCCATCAAGTCAACATTGTGTCACTTTAGAAAGGTGCACGACTGAAGCAGCTCCGCTTATAGGGTATTCACAAGACAGGCACTTGCACGTTTTACAGGGAGTGACATACGAGAAAAGTGACTGTGTGGATTCACACAGCTGCACTTGACGACAGGCACGTTTGCATTTTTGAATGCTTCACCGACCAGTAGCCATGGGTATTTCAAATTTTCAAAACACGCATAAAATAATTATCATGTTCCAAAAAATCAAGTCTTGTTTTGCGCTTTTTGGTGTAAATGTACTCGTTCACGCCACGATTATCGTGAAAGTGGGCCCCCAGCTCGCTTGAACATTTCGGCCACTTTAAGCCACTTTTCTCGTTCACAGGTAAACTACCATAGCAACTTTCCGGTGCACGTGGATTTGCCTGTCGTGTGAATACCCCATTAGCCACGCAAGCATCCCAGAAGATGAGGGCCATCACCACCTGACTGAGGGGCAACACATGGTGGTCTTGAAAACAACCAGATTACAAGGATGGACAAAATAGAGAGCTACGTCCTCAATTAGCAAGAACTATACATTTAATAGCAGATGAGCCTGGATCAGCAAAAACCATCACATGCGCAAAATTTTCAAAAACAATTGTTGTGCTCCAAATTGATCCACAACCCCTGATAACCAGTCTCAAGAAATTTTGGATCAATCACAACACCCTAAGTGACCAAAAAATGCGGTACACCACATCTCTGTACAAATGTTGGAATTGGCATTTCTGTGTAGGATGCAAGTATGAGCGTT